GCTGAGGATCGAACCCTGGCCGCACGCATGCCAGGCGAGCGCGCTACCGCTTGAGCCACATCCCCAGCCCTTAAAATACTAATTTATTTTGGCAGTATTAATTTGATGGCAAATTTTGCTTGGAAAAGTGTCTTCTGCTTTCTAATAAAAGGACACATTTTATTATATAGAAAACAAACTTGCCATTAGGTGATATTTCAGTTATCTGCTACAACAAATTCAATATACACTATTTGATTTATGGTTATGATTGATTTATATTTTAGAATGCAGCCAATTTTTTCTTGCTCACTGATAAACTCAAGGAAAAATCCTTTAGTTCACTCTTCTAATGATATAATATGCACCATTCAAAATAGTTGCAATGTACACGAACTATGGTTACCTGAGTGTGTATGTGCACATGTGTATATAAGCAAACACTTGTTTAACTGGTTCTACCCTTCTCCTAGCAATAAATATTATCAATCAAGAGACATTAGTTTATTGGAGGAGCCCATTCTTATTCTGCCCACAAGGAAATGTTCCAGCATTCAGTTTGTAGTTGAAGGAGAATTTGAAATGATCATAGAAAGTTGAAAGTCACATAAACAATCTGGAAACGTGAATCCTCTAAGGCTTCTTCTAGCTAAAGGAGCCCCCAGGAATCTGGGGACTGGGAACACAGGTGTCATCTTCCTGCCAGGTGAGCTTCAAAGTTGGCAGGCACATTTTAATAGATTGGGTCACTTCACAGTTTGGTAACTGTGATGGCAACTTGCTCCTTTTTAGTCTCTTAGTGTTTGGATTTTCTCCTGCAGTGGAGAAGACTGATGGAATGATCTCATTTTCTTGCCTAGGTGATCCAGTCTCACAGACGCCTGCCCCACCCACGCACACCGACTCGCAGGCGCCCTCTTCTGGAGGAACTGACCCGCAGACACTCAGCAGCACCGCTGTGCTTACCACACTCACGGTTACTCTGAGCAGGCCTGATCCTTCAGGTTTGCGTGTCTTTTAGACTTGTACAAATATGAGGAGTACACGACAACTTCCTGTATTAAAGAAGGGTGTGAAAAAATTCAGCCACTTGTTCAATGTTTAGCACTTGCTCGTTGATATAGTTGGAATTTCGTAATTACCCACATAACACAGGACATTCTAACAGCTATGAAATAATAAAGAATGCAGATTGAGGCTACAGCAAAAAGGGCTGGGGAAGAGCCAGTTATTCATGATATTCTGTGTTTCTTTCTATTTTAGGCAGTTATTGTACAGTGAAACCTTGTTGCTAGTAATAAAGAATAATGAGTCTTTAAAACCTCAAATTCACAAACAATCATGAAGAACAGGTGATTGCTTGTTATTGATGAAAGGCACTAAAGAATGAAATTATATTTAAAAATTGAAAAAAAAGAAATACCTGCTTGTATTTTTCGACCAATTGT